AAAAAAAAAAAAAGCCACGTATCCAACATTTTTTCAATGAACTCGCGACCCTGCCTATTATTGGACAAAGTGAAAGGATGATCACTAATTCTACCCTCAACCGTACCCATATCCCAGACAAAAGACTTAAAATTTTAAAGTTGTTAGCCTCTCTCATAATCCTCCATTCTTATCCTTATTAGATAATAAGACCAATAAACCAAATATTCCCCCGAAAAAAGACTAAACCTAGTAAAAAAGTTCCATTTGTTCTGCTCTTTCCACAGTTATTAATAGCATTTACAAAAAGTTCCACGTGTTACTTACTACTTCCTAATTGCTTACGCCTAAGTCATCATCATGTCACGAATAATCCATTTCTCGTGGTGCCCAGTTAGGGATGGCAGCGGTTCGGTTTCGGTTCGGATATCCGCGATTTTTGGTTCTACGGTTTTCGATTTTGGTTCTCAAATTTCACCCACAGTTTTGCGGTTTCGGGTACCCGAAAGTCTTCGGTTTTGGTGCGGATCCTATATTTCGCCCGTGGTGCTCCGTTGGGTGCCCAAAATAGACGGCCCATCAAAAAGCCCACCAAAAACCCTAGCTATATAAGTAGAAATTTCCTCTCCCTCTTATCCTCTCCCCGTCTCCCGTGATGGCTTGGCTTAGCTATGTACTCTACTACCTTTATGGCTTGTACTGTACGTTGGTACTTGCTAATTTGTGACTGGTTGCCTGGTACTCTCTAAGTTATCATGTTTTATGTTGTTGTCTTTGGTGTTTTATTATAATATTTTTGGTTTTTTGGGTATCCGTTTGGTTTTTGGGTATCCGCGTGTTTTGGTTTTGGTGAAGGATTTTCACCCGAAACAGTTTTGGTTTTGATTTTGGTTTTTAAGTTTGGGTTTTGGTTTTGGGTGCCCTGAGGTTCCATCCGATCCGAACCCGAACCGCTGCCATCCTTATGCCCAGTACACATTTATCTGTCCTCCATTTTTTTTCTCCGTGTCAATTAAGCTCAACATGTTTTGAATTAATATATATTGGGAGGATTACATTTTCTCTCTTTACAGAAAGCTCCCACTAAAATCCTTTTGTTTGTGCATGTGATCCCTACTCCTAATTTCCTACCCTTATATAAACAAAACAATCCCAATTTCAACTTCCATTGCTTTGCTTACTTCTGTTGTCTTTTCCAACTCAATTTTCCTGTTTTTGTTAGTTCAATCCCAAACATCAGTGAAAATGCTGCCTCCTGAACAAGAAAACAGCACTACAAACAGTATCAGCAGAGGCACATCTGTCAACAGCCTACCCGATAACATATCCCTACATATCGAACGGCCCGTATCATCCAGCAATGTCAGCCCGTTCCCTGATCACAATCGAACGTCTCACAAAGATGGAACGAGATATTCCGTTTTACGAGAATCCATATACCCTGTTACTCTTCAGGTGATGAATTATTCTGCTTAAATCATTTGATTGGTTAGTTTTGTACATGAACCTATAGAGAAAAAAATTACAGAATTACGAAAATTGGTCACATAAGTAAAATACATAAATTGTTTTTTTTTCCCTTTAGTTAATTTTTATTATCCCTTTGCAGTTTGAGGATGTATCCTACACAATTAAGTTGCAAAACAGTGAAACGAGCCTCTGTTGCTCATCGGAAACAAAGGTAACGCGCAGGATACTGAACAGCGTTAGCGGGCTCGTCCGGCCCGGGGAGCTCCTTGCAATGCTGGGCCCGTCGGGCAGCGGGAAAACAACACTCCTCACGGCCCTTTCGGGCAGGCTGCCAGGAAAAGTATCGGGCTCGATAAAGTACAACGGGCTGCCACTGTCCAGCTCCATAAAAAGGAAAACGGGCTTCGTGACCCAAGATGACGTGCTTTACCCGCACCTGACTGTGTTGGAGACTCTCACTTACACGGCCCGGCTCAAGCTGCCGAGCTCCCTGTCCAAAGAGGAGAAAATCGAGCAGGCGGAGATGATTATAGTGGAGCTTGGGCTCACCAGATGCCGGAATAGTATCGTCGGGGGCCCCTTATTGAGGGGGATTTCAGGTAGGGGCATGAAAACACTATGATATATTAATTTGAGGCTAAATTGCATATATAGTTCTACTGTTTTAACTACATATCATTTTTAGTTCAAGATTCTAACATTTTGCCTTTTGATCCTGTTATTTAATATTTTTGTGGATATTCTAAATTTCCAAATCGATAGATTTTTAATTAGCCATTCAAGTCTATTAAATGAGAATTTTGTTGCATTTTTATTCTTGTTGTATAAAATTTTGTTATAGTTTTGATCCCCTATTAATTGAAATTGTAGTGATATATTAAATCACATGACCAAAAGGTAAAAAGTTAGAACTTTGAGACAAAAATTGCTTGTTAAATAACAGGAATAAAAAATTATTTTTGCCTTAATTTAGATAGTTAAATTCCTTGGAAGCTTGTGATTGATTTACTTATCGATTTTATTATAATATATAATTATTTTATTCCGTGACTATCAGGTGGAGAGAGAAAGAGAGTTAGTATTGGGCAAGAAATGTTGGTGAATCCTAGCCTTTTGTTGGTGGATGAGCCGACATCAGGGTTGGATTCCACCACGGCCCAAAGGATCGTGGGCACACTGCGTTGGGCAGCGCGTGGTGGGAGGACAGTGGTGACGACAATCCACCAGCCATCGAGCAGGCTTTTTAGGATGTTCGATAAGGTTATTGTGATGTCCGATGGGTGCCCGATATACAGCGGTGGCGCGAATCGGGTGATGGACTATTTTGCATTCATCGGTTATGTGCCTGGGTTTAATTTTATGAACCCCGCTGATTTTCTCCTCGATCTTGCTAATGGTATCAAATTTTCTTGACAACTGCCTAGTTTAAGAGTGAAATGCATGGTTGACAACAAAAATAAATAACAAAAGCTCACTGAATTTGATAATTAATATATGTTAAATATTATAGAAAAGTTAAATTTATTTTTCATGTAAATTAGTTGCTTTACGTAGCATAAAACACATTCCCCTCAATAATTACATATCTTAAGCTGGCAAAATTTTGATGATTGAGAATACTGTTGAGCTGGCAAAATAATTGTGTACCTCCTTGAAAAATTTGTATTACAAATTCATATTAACTAATACTATATGCAGGTGTGACAAATGATTCAGAAGAAGATGAAGAAAATCATGTTGGAGAAGAACATCATGATGATACTCAATCTACAAAACAATTTCTCATATACTCTTACAAAAAGAATTTACTTCCTCTTCTCAAAGAAGAAATTCACAAAGCCAATCACGATCAACCCTCTTCCCGAAGGTCATCGCCATCCCGAAGTACGTGAAAAATCATCACCCATCGTGACTAATATGCTTTAATCACTCTGTATACACATCCAGTAACTAGTTTTCCATTTTCTTTGACCAAGGTTTAGGAAATCAATGGGCCAACAGTTGGTGGTTGCAGTTCAAGGTGCTATTAAGCAGGGGCCTTAAAGAAAGAAAACACGAGTCTTATTCCGGATTAAGAATATTCCAAGTCCTGTCTGTTGCAATTATTTCTGGACTTTTATGGTGGCATTCCGACGCTAATCGCATTCAAGATCAGGTCATTTTGTTAGATTCCGATTCTATCACTAGTTCGACTTTTGTTAACATTACTTGTATATTTTGATTCTACATGGGTTTTCGATTTTTGTTTACATTAACTTTCGCACGACACGGTTTCTAAACATTGTTACCACATTTTTTTTCTACCTTTTGCAACAGGTTGGATTGCTTTTCTTCTTCTCAATCTTTTGGGGATTTTTCCCTCTATTCAACGCGATCTTCGTTTTCCCACAAGAAAGGCCCGTTCTTGCACGAGAACGCTCCTCGGGAATGTACCGCCTGTCGTCATATTACATAGCTAGAATCGTGGGTGACTTGCCGATGGAGCTTGTGCTCCCGACTATTTTCGTTACGATTTCGTATTGGATGGGTGGCCTAAAGCCATCCCTCATCACATATCTTCTAACCCTTTCGATCATCCTTATCAACGTGCTCGTAGCACAAGGTCTTGGGTTAGCCTTAGGCGCGGTATTGATGGACGTAAAACAAGCGACAACTCTATCGTCCGTATTGATGCTAGTGTTTCTACTTGCAAGTGGCTATTACATTCAGCATATCCCATCATTTATTGTCTGGCTCAAGTACATCTCTTTCAGTCAGTATTGTTACAAGCTTCTTGTAGGGGTGCAATATTCGTACGATGAGGTGTACGACTGTGGATTGGGTTCGATCTGTAGGGTTGCTGATTCTCCAGCGATAAGGAACCTTGGGGCTCATGATCATATGCTCACAGACATTGTTGCTTTGATGCTGATGTTGGTAGGGTATAGGATACTGGCGTATGTTGCTTTGAGGTTGAGGAAAAATAACTAATTCACTTATTAATTAAATTGTATTATATTGATTGAAGCCATAAAAGTACGATTACATAGGTAATTTCTCCAAAGTTATTTTGACTTGTAATTTGTTTGTATATCATTTTTATCGTTGATTAATGATCAATGGAATTTGAAAGCCTCGTTGAGGTTAACTACGATGTATTAATTTGATGATGTTGAACGTGGTATTAATTTTGAAATTAAGAGAGTACTACAATTGCTCTTGAACTTATAAATAATGTAAGTTAATAAATTTTGTCATTTGCAAAAAAAAAAAAATAAATAAATTTTGTCGAAGTCATTAATGAATCAATGATTTTTCAAGAGGAGAGTGTATCATTCTCCCTCAAAACTCTTTTATCAAGTAAGTGTTTAGTTAATCATACGAATAACATTTACAATTGAATAATTCTTCTTCCTAACATGTTTTGTACTTCATCTACCTAACTATTATTGTCGTACATAGACTTATGTTGCATATATGTACAAATCCCTATAAGCAGCCGCACTCAGTGAATAGAGAAATGTTCACTATGTACAATTTCTACAAAATGTATGTAGTTTCAAATCTCTTGCCAAATCCTCAAGACAAACTATTCTTTTTGAAAGTCTGAATCTTTTTAAATTAGAAAACTCTAAGCACACATTCAGATTCCTCTACACTTCAACTCGTTTCTCTTTCCGTTAAATAATGAATCATAATTGCTTTTTACCATATACAATGTTAACAAATCTTTCGATATACTTTTACCTACAAAAATAGTCAATTAATTAGGCTCAAACAATAGTAGGAATATAATTGAGATATGAAAGATTTAGCATAATTGAATCTTCCACTATTCTTCAAGTCAAGCATCCAAATCACCCATTCCAGCAAACATAAATTAGAGACAAATTTAAGTTTCGATTTGGTGCCAAAATTATATAACTTTTACAATCTCCACGTTTGGCTTATAACTTGAAAACTCGTTTCATGAACCAGCAAAAATTACAGAGACATAGACTCAAATAATCAATGAGAGGTAACAATCATAAAGATGGGTTTGAAAAACTCAACATACTTTCGTAGAAGATTTGTCTCTGCAATAATTAACACTTCAGGCAGGCTCGGCCCTGGCCCAGGGCGAGCTGGGTAAAGAAGGGACAGCAAGCTTCAACTATATGAGTATATGACATATGTATATAAAAAAGGCCCAATATATGTTAGTGTAGGGTTCAACAAAAAAAATAATTGAATGGGCCATTAAAGGCCCACTTATTATTAATTTAAGGGCACATAGGTAACGGAAAAACGAGAAATAGATAACAAAAAATTCACATAGTTTTTTCCCGGGTAAATTGCGCCAAACCCCCCTGTATTATACGAAATCTGCGCGTTATTACCCTGTATTTTAAAAATTGCGTCACACCCCCTTGTATTATACTTTTGATTGCGCGCTATCCCCTAAACCGTCTAACTTGACGGATGTGCATTTCACGCGCGTGTGGTGCGACTGTTTCTCCATTTTTCTGCAATAAACTCAGGGAAATGACTATTTTGCCCCTTAAAATAATTACAAAATAGATTATGCATGTGGAGATGGTGTTGTGCGGGATTAACGGGCCACATGCCCAGTTTCAATAAAAATAATATAAAGTTTAGTTAAATTAAATTTATTTATTTATAATTAATACATATAATATATATAATATATTAATATATCATATATCATATTAATATATTATATATAATATTATATTATATAATATTATAATATTATGTATATAATATTTTATATGTATAATTATATTATATATATAATATATAATATATATTATATAATCATTATTTAATAATCGTTATATATATTATATATAATATACATATAAAATATTATATACATAATATTATAATATTATATAATATAACATTATATATATTATAATAATATAATATTATATTATAATGAAATAAAATATATAATATATAACATCATAATATATTATATAATATTTTATAATATATTATTTTATATAATATTATATATTATATAATATTATATAATTTATATAATAACCGTTATATATATTATATATATAATATAATATTATATAATATTATATAAATTATATATTATAAAGATTATTATATAAATTATTATATTTATAATATATTATAACCATTATATATATAATATATAACGATATGATATTATTTAATAAAAAATCAGTAACAACCCTAATTCCTTCTCCCCAAATTTCGCCGCCGTCTTCGTCCCTCAATCTGCAATTTGTGTGCCTCCTCAGCGGCTGACCAGCTTCGCCGGTGGTCAGCCCTCCACCGTTTCTCTCATTCCCTGTTCGTGCACCTCTCTTCGGCGCAATAGAGAAGGGGTTAGGGAGGCCGGGTCTGTTCTCGATTTTCCGATGTCCGATTTCTATGGTGGTTCTGAGAGGGTTGTCGTCGGGGCTGGAGTGGCTTGGGTGGCTTGTGGCGTACCGGTCGGATTAGGGTGGTCGTGGCCGAGGCGCTTTTCTTGCTCCCGTTTTCTTTCTCTGCTCCCTGGTGTGCGGTCGGAGAGAAGGCCGATGCACGGGTCCCGGTCAGTGGTGGTGGTCGGACTTGGTGTAGCGGCGGTGAGGGGTGGCGAGGTTGCTTGTCCTCAGTTGTGGACGGTCCTAGCCGGTGATCGTTCGTAGCTGCTGGTGCTCGGGATCCTTTCGATCTCCCGTTCCCCTTGTCCTCTGTTTCTCGCGATTTTTTCAAATTCTCGAGATATATTCAATTTCTCGCGATATATTGAATATATCATGATAAATTCACATTATCAGAATATATATATATAATATTCGGAGGGCATAACGGGAATTTTACAAAAATATTAACGCCGTTAACAGAAAAACAGTAAAATGGGAGAGTGTGCATGCAAACCTTAAATACGAGGGGGTATGACGCAATTTTTAAAATACAGGGGGAAAATGCACAAATTTAATATAATACAGGGGAGTTTGGTGCAATAAACCCGTTTTTTCCCTTTCACTTTTCTTCCCTGCGGCCGCGGGTCTGCTCTTTGAGAGTCGGGCCCCTCTCCATCTTCTCTATTTCTCTGTTTTCAAGTTTGAACGATCAAATTATTTATGAATTGTACTTTTTATTTCAAAAAATTTCTTTAGGAAAAAAATAGATAATTGTTATTTTGTTTCGTTCCTTAAAGAAAAACACATAATTACAAATTAGAAAATAACTAAATGATCGAATAAGTTAGTTACTTAGTTGAATCTAGTTGGGAAGACAAACCTCATAGGCAGAAAGTTCGAGGCAACCTAGAACCAATCCAACTACTGGAGCATTATTCTGTATTTGGCCCGGGGCCCAATTGAGGGGCGGAGCTATAGTCCCTTCAGGTGGGGGCCTAGTCCCCACCTGAATTTTAGATTTTTAGTTTTTATAATATATATTCTCAAAAGAATTAATACAAATTGTGTAGTTTTACAAAATAATCTTAATGAAGTTGTTTATTAATTAGTCTTTTTTTCTTGTTATTTCATATTAAATTTTTCATTTTACAATGTTTTATTTATCTGTTGTATCTCTGTATAATCTAACAAAACATCGCATGCTACTATTATAATTGTTATGTTAGAGAACTGTTGCTGTAATAACCCAGTTTCTTATTAATGGAAGTGATGTATTTTCTTTTATTAATCTCGTTCATTTTCAGCGTTTAAGTTATTAAGTTCGACTTTAAGTCGAAAAGTCTATTCGGTTAATTATTAACCGAGTCCAAGTTGATAATTAATTTGCGAACCGTTTATTTTATAAACGGATATTATTAATCGGGATTAATTATTAAAAGTTAAGAATGTTCGGATTTAGTTTCGAAATCAAATTCATGTCTAAGTCTCGGAGGTGCTATATAAGCCCTCTCCGAGGAATTTCAAAATTTAACCGGCAAGTCCCGAACAATTCATGCATATTTAGTCAAGTCAAGTCATGTCAAATTATGATCAGTCACATGAGGGTTGCCGGAAAAAGTAGTCGGACGGCCGGCGAAAGGCCGACCGTAGTGCCTATCCGCACACAGCGTGCGCGCGGTACGCCCGGCAGTCCCAGCGAGCACGTTGGCAGCACCCGCACGCCCAGTAGTGCATGCGCGTGCCCAGTACCCCGCAGTCAAGCCCCGCGCTGCAGCAGTCATGCGCGTACGTGTGCGCAGTGCACGTCAACACGCACGACAGCGTCCACCTAGCCGGTCCACGTACACGACAACGCATCGCACGCCCAGCAGCGTGCCCCGCAATGTCCGTACGCCTGCCAGAGCGTTCCGCGCACGCTGGCCAGTAGTCACGCACGCAAGCACGCCCAACAGCGTGCCAGCGGTGCCCAGTAGGCCTCGACGTTGCCCGGCAGCACGCCCGAGTGCCCAGTCAGCCCAGCACGCGCAGCCCGCGTGCCAGTCGCCTACCTACGGCGCACAGCAGCGCCCGGTAGTGCTCGTACGTGCCAGTGCCGTTGCCAGTGTCCACGGCAGTGGCCAGTCATGCCCAGCAAGTGCCCTGCCGTCGCTGGCCGTGCAAAGCGACACGCCAGTGACCGTCCTCAGCGCACGCACGGTGCCAGCAGCACCCACCAGCGCCCGGGACCAAACCAGCCAGCGCCCAGGCCGCGCCTAGTGCGCGAGTGACCGAATCGATGGTTAGCAGGCTGCCGACCGTCCGGCCACAGCGAGCCAGCGGTCCAGCCAGTCAGTGAACCGGCCGGTTCAGACCGGTTACTTGAGCAGTTCAGTATTCAGTGACCTGGTCCGAGTTCAGTACAGTATTTTAGTTAATTTTTCAGTCCAGTCAGTTCAGTACGCCGGTATCAGTTCAGTCCGGTTTTCTTGTCAGTCAAGTTAAACCCCGAGATAATACTAGTTAAATGTTTAGATCGAGTCGAGCATGTTAACAACTATTTTCAGTCAGTCTGAGCATGGTACTTAGTATTTGTTTATTTATATATATTTTTACAGATTGATCAGCAGCAGCACTTACATATTCAGACTATCAGTTCAGGTGGGGACTCAGACTGAGTATTACATTGAGTATAATTACAGTTATCATGTTCGAGGTATGTATATACCAGTTCCGCTTAGAGTGGTGGCCAGTTTGCGTAATTCCACTCCGAGCTCTAGTGGCTAGATCTGACCACTAGGGTGTGCACATGGTTCCGGCTGAGTTTATTACAGTCGGCAGACACAGTTTACGTCCAGTTTATACTGTTGACGAGCCAGTTACAGATAGCAGCAGATATACATGCGTTTGATCATGATGATGCAATTATTATTATTGTTTTATTTCAGTATGAGTTTCTGCGGAGCACAGTGGCTTTAATGCTCACGCTCCCACTATATTATCTTTTTCAGGTGACAGGGTCGGTCCAGAGGAGTGAGCAGAGCAGGTGGTCCATGGTCCAGTATATAAGCTTTTGCAGACTTATGATATGTATATTATTTGCCACGTTTTTACTTCCGCTGACGTTATCAGACTTTCAGACTTGCATGTTAGTTTTCAGATTTTGATCCGAACCTTCTGGTCGGATTTATACAGTATTACATACCGGTTTGATAAAAGATAATCCGTTTTTTTAAATGATTTTGATTTTAATTTAGTTAACAGATATTTACAAAAAGAAATATTTTTCTGTAGCATCCCGAGTCACGACTTCGCAAACTAATAAGTATTTTTAGAAAAGAATTTGCGAAAATTTAACTCTGATTTTAATAAGTTAGCGGGGTGTTACAAATTGGTATCAGAGCACGTTTTTGTGTATCTGAATACTTTATTAAGTTAGAAATTTTCAGAAAAGACCCGACCACGCTACGCTCACGCCTCGCCGACTATAGGTAAGTGCTGAGTTACAGTTTATATATATCTAAACGGATGCTTAAGTCTATGCTCAGTAAAGGGTGTCGATATTTAACCCTAGTAATCAGTAAGATGCTCGAGTTAATGATCAAGTATTTTCAGAATATAGTCGATTGTCTCAGTTATTTGATAATTCGACTCTAGTTTTCTCGGGTTATTTAGCGACTCGTCAAGAAATTTGTATGCTCAATCAGTCAGTCAGTCAGTCAGTTAATCTGTTATGTTAATATTTCAATGTTCAGATGCCTACTCGTAGAGATCCAGACCAGCAGGGACTCCCTCAGGCCACAGTGGTCGCACAATTCCGCGACTACCATCCAGAAAATTTTTCCGGCCAAGGAGATCCTCGTATAGTGGACGAATGGGTTCAGGGCCTTGAAATGATTTTCGAGGTCATGGACTGTCCTGATCATTATCGCGTGTTATGCGTACAAATCCAGCTTACCGGTGATGCCCGACTCTGGTGGAATGCCTATTGGAGTATGTGTCCCGGCAAAAAAGAAGGTTGTACGTGGGACCAATTCAAGGAGTTGATTCGCGGGAAGTACTATCCCTCGTATTACCGAGCAGAGATGGAGCGCCAGTTCTTGGCACTCAGACAGGGTACTCATTCTGTTGACGAGTACGAGATAGAGTTTACCCAACGCGGAGCCTTCATAACCGATCTTGTGAGTGCGGAGGCGAAGAGAGCCCATCGTTTTACTGACGGACTTCTACCAACAGTCTGTCATAACATTGTAGGTCACGGTGTTCAGACCTACGCCCGCACAGTCGCCACTGCCCAGGAGGTAGATGCCAGCATCCGACGAGAAGCTATTCCGACTTCAGCCCAGCCAGTTGCTCAGCCACCAGCCCAGCCCAACGTTGCCCAACCATCAAAGAACCAGAAGAAGAGGAAGTTCAGAACCACTCTTGACGAACGGAGGACTCGCCCCAAACAGATACCAACCTGCCCGACATGTAGAAAACGCCACCGTGGAGAATGCCTTGTGGGCCAGAACATTTGTTTCTTCTGTCGCCAGCCAGGCCATATCAGCCCCAACTGCCCAGAACGACTGCAACAACAACTGCAACAACGATAGCCACTTCAGCAACCTCAACAGCAGCAGCTCAGGCAACAGCCACCAAGACCCCAGCAACAGCCACGCGGCAGACAGCAGGCCCGCGTCTTTGCAGTTGACCAGAGAGAGGCCGACCAGCACCCAGATACCATGTCTGGGATGATATTCTTAATAATGTGCTTGTTTATGCCTTGTTTGACACCAGAGCGACCCATTCTTTTATATCATGTCGATGTTTTGAAGCTATTGGGGTCCATTCTCTTACCACTGTCGATCCTCTCGAGGTGAGTTTAGCCTCGGGATGAAAGATAGTGACTGACGCTAGAGCCACCGTTCTCAGCCTTTCCATCGGCGGCCGTATTTTGACTACTGATGCTTATGTTATCGAGATGAGGGATTTTGACCTCATACTCGGTATGGATTGGCTAACACGTTTTCACGCAGATATCCGATGTCACAACTGGGAGATTACTCTTTATCCGGGAGATGATCAGATCACTTATTTCGGCTCTAGGACTCGTACTTTACCCCACGTTATTTCTATGGCGATAGCCAGAAAGATTCTTCGACGGGGTGATTGCCAGGGTTACCTTGTGAGCCTCGTTGGAGATGAGCCAAAGGCACGGTCACCTCAGGACATTCTTGTTGTTCGTGAGTTTGTGGACGTGTTCCTAGACCAGCTTCCGGGCGGTCCACCTAGCCGACAGGTGGAATTTTCTATCGATCTTATCC